ACAAGGGAGTTTTTCAAAATCTTCATACACCCATTTCCCCATTTACCCTCAAGACCACATTCTTCAAAAACAGAAACAGAAAGCAGGTTGTGCCTAAGATCAGGGACATGTCTAACATTTTTTAATTTGAAAACAGTTCCATTTTCAAACTTAAGACTTATGTCACCCACACCATGGACCTTACACTTCTTATTGTTAGCTAGGGACACATAACCAGAATCACAAGCACTATAAGAGGCAAACAGAATTTTAAAAGGAGTCATGTGGTAGGTACAACCTGAATCTATTAACCATTCAAGTTCAGTTAGGTTGCTTAGGACAGAATTAGCCTGATCACAGACCATGAACACTTCTTCACTAATTTCCTTATTAGTCACAGAGTTGGCCTGTTCATTTCTTTTGGGTTGGGTACAGTCTTTTATGAAATGATCTGGGTTCCCACAGTTATAGCACACCCTTTTCTTAGACTTATGCCTTTTCTTGCTAGGTTGTCTACCATTCTTATCCTGATTGTCCTTTTTAGGATGTTTAGACCTACTTTTAGACCTTCCCCTAACAACCAAAGCTTCCCCAGATTCCTTATGATGGTTCCTAGAATGTTTTAAGTCAAGTTCTTTACTTCTCAGGCCATTAATAACAATATCAAGGGTTATGTCATCCCTCCCATATTTAATGGCAGACTTAACATCATTATAGGAATCGGGTATAGCATTCAATAAGACTATGGCAGTGTAGTCATCTATATGTTTATCCCCAGCCTGCTTAATGTTTTGGATTAGTTTGTTAAAAACATCTAGGTTTTCATCAATGTCTTTTGTTAGGTCAAGTCTAAACCTAAAAAACTTTTCCAACAAAAACAGTTTACCAGGAAGGGAAGTATCAGTATATAGAGACTCAAGTTTATCCCAGAGGTCTTTAGCAGACTCAATGACTCCAACCTTTCTAAGGACAGAGTCAGACAAGTTTAAATATATGGTTGAGCAGGCTATTTCATTCATTTCAACTTGTTTGGGTTTTTCCTCAGTTTCTAAGTATTGCCCAGTAATAGCTCTATGAACTTTCTGTTGTATTAACACACATTTTATCTTCTGTTTCCAAATGTCAAAGTCAGTCTTACCATTAAAAGGCATCATACCACACTGGTTTGAAGCCATGATAACAGTCACAACACAACTGCAGAGATACAGGTAATATAAAGGCTTAACCCTGATGGTTTGGGCTGCGGACTAAGTGACCACGCAGTTCCGGGGCCACTGAAGTGGCTGGCAGGGAATCACTTAGCCCTAACCTCAGGTGCCCTAGCCAACCAGGGGTTAGGATGCCACACAATTACCAGAACTCAACACAAAGAAGCGGAAGAAAATTTGATAGACTGACTGAGCAGAGAAATAATACAAAAATAATACAGCAGAAAATAGGGCACACTACAGCAATACAGAGGCAGGTTCAGATGGAGTCTCCAGACGTTACCGGTGTGGGAGTTCTCCGGTGAGCTTCCGGTGTCCGAGAGAGGCAGCAACGTCCAGGCTCTAATACCACTGTTAGAAAACCGGACCGGCTCAGACCTCAATCACCACCAAGCCCAAAGGCTTGCTCACACTCACCACCAGGGATACAAACAGGGAAGACGAAAGGGCGACAGCCAACTAGCCCTCACACTCAGAACCCAGACCCCAACCCAGAAAACCCACCGGAGCAACGGATACCCACCACACTACCAGACTAGAGTGAAGACCCCAAAAGGAACCCCAAAGTCTCACCGGAGCAAAGCCGGAGCTAAAGCTCAGAGTAGACCGGCACTCTCTCTCTCTAGGTCTAGGGTAACTGAACGGGAGAGACATCGGTTAGAGAGAAGGTGGAGAGGCAGAAATAGGAGGATTCCAGAACAACCAGACAATATAAGGGAGGGCCACACGAGATGGGTTGGGTATAAGACAAATAGGAAGGGAATGGGCTTGGTCGGGTAGACAGCCCAAATGGACCAGGGCATTAAATAGGAGACCACCTCCTTAAATGAGGTGGACCAAAGGCAGCTCAGGGATGGCCCAGTAGTGAGGTGGACCAATACCACTTCACTGGCATTTGAGGATTTTGTAAAGATAAGTAAATTAAAAAGAATGAGGGGCTCAAAAATCAGCTAGCTAAAAACAGGAGGCTCAAAACATAACACTAATTTAATTGAGAACGTTTTAGGCTGGTATTCAGAGAAACCTTTCAGATCTTTTTGTAGAGAATAAAAATAATGTTTTACGAGGACTTTGGAGAAGTATATTGAAAGAAGTTTTGAACACGACACACCTTCAATAGAAAACTCAAAACAAATTACTCATTTCATCTTGTTTTAGTTTTCTTTTTAGTGAGGTTAACGAGCTGAATATTATAATTTTTAATTGTAAAATAGGCTCACAAATAAGGAAAAGTTATAGGATGATATAGGAAGGTAAGATCACCATGTTATGAGAAGGACTTCCGTGTTCTAGAGGAAGGACTCTTATGGTTCAAGGAAACACTCATGTGGTCAAGAAAACGATGAAATATGAGTTGTATAGGAAGAGAAAAGGCTTATTATGTCATTCAAAAATGTTAAAGAAAATTAGTTTTAGAGATTGATAAGTGCAATCTACAACAAACTCTTAACCAAATGGTGTTTCGTATCATTCTAGTAAAGTAGTAAGCTTGTATTAGTGGATTGATTTTGGAATCGAAAATTGAAAAATCTCGAAAAACTAATTTCCTTCATTTTTATTATGCATAAAACTATCGTTAACACAACCCGGCTGATATTAGGAGCCCATTTGGTAACATTAAAATTGACTAAATCAGTTGATTCTACTGAAATTTATAAAGTTCTAACTGAAGTGACTGTATTGGCTGATTCTGCTGATTTATGAAAAAAATTATATTTAAATTATATTTTATTAATAAAATAAAGAAAAATTATACTCCGTATAAAAAATAGCTAAAATCTATAGTAACTTCTTCAGACAATACAGCCAGAAAAGTATCTTAGACCTTACTTTTTTTGTTATTACACGGTTCACGAGCAACTTGTTGTTGAGAGAACATGTATCTCATTTTCCATTGTATAGTACTCCGTAGCACCCATGATAATGGCTAGGTTTACGTGTAGTATATAGGATTTGATGTTTGTGCACAATAAGGTGGGGTCACTCACTCTTGAAGTGTCTTTGCTCTCTACGATTAAACCAAAGCATAGTTTCATCTAAAATAGTGAATTTCTTCCCATATACTAGTATACATGATAGATTTTTCATTGAATCTATGAGTAGGTATGTATGAGTCTTCTTAGAGGACAAGTTTGACCGTTACGGAGATTAATAAAGTAAAAACTGTACAGTAGAGGTTTGTGCAAAGAAAAGAGAATTAACTGGAACCACAAATTATTTTCAAAGGGAAAGTGATAAAGTTAGTGGGTCATCCAAAAAAGGAAAGTTCGCAAAGTGTTAAGAAACGGAGGTAGTATGTAAGTTGACAGAGCACTAATAATGTATATGCTCCCTCACATAGGGAAAACTTTAATGTCTTAGAGCCCTTTTGGAAACACGAAAATGGTCTGATTCAGCTGATTTTGCTGAAATTTATGAAGTCCTGGTTGAAGTGAATGCATTGGCTGATTCTGCTGATTTAAGATTTTTTTTTAAATATATTCTATTAATAAAATAAAGAAAAAATTATATGTAAAAATAGTTAAAATGGTCATCTACAGTAACTTCAGCCAATACAGCCAGAATAGTAACTTCAATACTACGTTTTCTTATTTTTACATAATTCACCGCACGAAAACAAAAGTTACGTGTTTGGTGAAAAGGTTGGTTGATAAGCCTGATAAGCCAAGAAACAGTGTTACCAAATGGCCTCTTAATAATGATGCAATCATATAAGGACCTTTAGAGAAGTCTCCTTTTGAGATGCACAATTTCACAAGTTAGACATTTCAACTATTAGTTTTAAAACACTAGATTCAAGATCTAAGACTGCATCACCTCGCTCTATCTTGAAGTCCACAAAATTCTTGAGGGCTATCTTCAACTTGTTGTCTCCTTTCTTTTGTTCATCACGATGATCTCGTGCTAGAAAATAGAAATCCTTAACATGTTAGTATTTCGTTATTATATGAAATTAGGTTTCACCAATTTCAAAGTTGGGTTTGGGGCATGAACTCTGCTGCTCGGGGATTAGCAACCATTTGTGTGCTGACCTTCATGAAAATCAGTGGATTAAATAAATAAGGAGCTGAATATAAGAGCTTTGGAATGGTAAGACTGTAAGAGAGACGTAGAACTAAGGTTAACAAACAACAAGCTAAAGGAGGTTAAACCGTAACATGGCTTTGCCTAACCTAGCTAAGCTTTACCTGATAGTATTAAAAATATAATGACATTGCATCAATTAGCTACATAACCTCAAAGTTAAAAAAATCATATTGAAATACTCACTCCCTCTGAATTTAAAAGTTTGTTAAACTTTATTATTTGAGATGTATTTAAAAGTTTGCTGCACTTTCATTTTTTGGTAAGTTTTGGATTTAAAAATACTACACTCAATTACTCTTATCTTTTCTACCTTTTATCTTATTTCCTACTTTTTCACATTCTCTCATACTTTTTCTTCATTGTTCATTACTCCTACTGTTTTCCACTTAAATATTGTGCCAAGATCTAATGTAGTAATTTTTTAAATACGGAAGGAAAATATTTTTGAAATATGAATAAAAAATACAATATTACTCTACGGTGTTCTAGTACGAAGATCATACTAATAAGTTTTGTTTTTTTATCTCATATTATGATATTTTTGTAACATATGATATTATTATGTTAGTATTATTAGTATACATATTAAAATAAATATCTATATTTAGGATGTTTTAACTTGGACTTATATTAGTCTCACTTCAAACTAGACTTAAACATGCCGGACCTGAGACTGGACGAAACCAAACTTCTACAATTATAAAGTACATAGAGATCAGATATGTACTCAATCAAACCAGACTAAACCAACTTTAAACAGATCACACCAAATCAAAGATTTGTGGTGCAAATAAAAACTATCATTAATTAATGAATGAAACTCGAATAGAGTAAATAAGCGGCCGTCTTCCTCAAAGTAGGGTTTGAGAACTGCGCATTGGTTGCGGCGTTATTCCGGCATTACCGGCAGAGAGGTGGAATTATTTTGCTTCTCCCCCGCACGGTTGGCTTTGCTTTCTTCTAATACTCGTCGTCGGTAAAGCACAGAAGCAAGCATGAGCTTTCCTTGGGAGAGTACACCAAGGCGGACGTCATCAACATTTCCTCATCCTCTTACATGGACGAGCGTCAAGGCATCTTCCGGGATGGAGGACATCGCAGAGCAATACAACAATATGGCCATAGGCGGGGACGAGGGCGAGATTATCCTGGACGAGGAGACAGCCGGTGAGGAAGAGGGCTCGGTTCGCAGTGCTAATTTCCCAGTCGTGAGTACTCTTCTCACAGACAAAATGGTGAAATTTAACGTGTTTAGGGATCTCATGGCTTCTATTTGGCGTCCTGGGAAAGGGATCTCAATCAAAGAAATCGGTGAGAAAAGGCTTCACCTTTTATCACATTGTTGACATGGAACGTGTGCTTGGAAGTGACCTGTGGCTGTTTGAACAAAATCTGTTGGTGCTCAGAGCATTAAAATCGGGAGACATTCCTCTTCGGGTCCCTCTTAATGAGGTTGATTTTTGGGTGCAGGTACATAATGTACCTTATGATTTTATGAATTTAGGCGTGGCTAGGAGAGTTGGTAATTTTATCGGCAAGTTTATTAGTTTTGATGAAAGTCAGTTTGAGGACATGTGGAATTCCTATATGAGAATTAGGGTTTGTATGGATGTAGGGAAGGCTTTGAAAGTGGGTACGACCCTTAGAAAGGGACGAGGTACAAGTCATTGGGTGGATTTTAAGTACGAGAAATTTCCTAGTTTTTGTTTTGCTTGTGGTATCATTGGTCATGCTGACAGGTTTTGCCCTTTGGCATATGAGTGCGAGAACAAATTTTTGAACAAACCTTATGGGGTTAGTCTCCGTGCTGGAGGGGGGGGGGGGGGGGGGGGAATCTCGCCCGATGGGGGGCAATAAGTGGTTGATTCTTGAAGGCTCTTCAGGTGGGAAGGGATCGACCCGGCAGGGCAACTCTCAAGACAAAGAAAGTGATGAAACTGGAAGGGGTGGAGCAGCAAGGCAACACAGGATCCTCATCGAGGTGGACAGCAGCAAGGATAAAGCTGAGGCGGGGAAGCTGCAACTACTGAAGGGGCTTCGGGAGAACAGAAACGTAGAAGGATGTGGGAGGAAAAACAACATGAGAATAATGGAGGGGACACCATGGCTCTAGACTTCCCAAAAAACGGGGAGGGGGCGGGTTCTGGTATCTAGACCCACCGCGATCCATGAAGATGTTCCAGGACAGGGAAGGACACGGGGAGATGATCGAGATGGTTAGGGTGCAGACGAAGTTCCACTTTTATGCTTTCTTTTTGGCTTTTTGCATTGATCAGACTGTTTTTGTTGTTGTCATTTACTTTTATTTTTGTCAGACTCTTGCATTAGGATTGGGCGATGAGGAATCTATTTTGATCGTGTTAGGCTCATTTAGATCCATTATAGGATCAACGAGTCATATTGCTTTTTACGAAGTGGCTGACTCTAAGTCTGATTCGAGGATCAGCGGATAGAAGTGCTCCTCTTATCTTCTTGTTACCTTTCTGAATGCAGTGAATGAAACTCGAATAAGTGAAGGTTTTTGTCGACCACATACAGTGGTACGGTACACACGAATTACTCCATTTTCAGCAACGATAAATGCAAATTTAATTCATTGTCTGGCGCTGCAAGCATTAATTAGTGCAGACGTGCAGTGTTAATTAATTAATTAATTAATTTGAGGGTTAGGTTTGAGCTTATAGTTATGGCTTAGATTGACGTTGCACTCCCTAGAAAGCAAAGGGAGCGGATTATATGCCGCAGAGTGCATCTCTGTACGTACAAGTGTAATTGGATAATACTTCCTCTCCTTTTAAATAAAATTTACACTTTTTTTATGGGCCGATCCAAATTAAAGTTCACACTTCTTCTCCTTTCTTATTTGGCGAATTATCTACATCAAAACAGTGCATAACAATGCAAAACAGTGTCAAATAGTGTCACAACATTGTACTCTACAGTAAAGTCAATTTTATTTTCTTAATTTGTGTTAAGTCAAACACTGAACATTATTTAGGACCGGAGGGGTAGTAGTACTTCCGTATAATTTTGAGATGTGTGAATAGAACAGAACGGAAATTTACATTAACTTCAATCGCGTGATTTTTTTATTATTTCCCATATTAATCTAGCAATTTTACTCCGTAACAAATTTGATGAGACGATTAATAAATTGGAGATTTCCCTAAATAGGACTAAATGAAAGGATAATTGTAACAATAAGAGTTTAATGTTTAAATTCCAAGAATAGGACTAACTCTTCCTATTCTACCTTTTCTCTTGTTCTTCCTAATAGGATTTTTTAAATAATCATTATAACACATAAAAACATTAAAATAAAAAAATTATAATCCTAAAACATAGATAAAAAAAAAATACAGACCTCAACCACCACATCAGCCACCTTCCAGCACCGCCACCTCCGGTCGTCGGAAAAGATTGCCAAGTAAGGAAAAAAATGTCACCGTGGTGACAATTTTGAAAAGAAAGTTGAATATTTTGAAGGAGTAAAATGTCATGTTCATGCATGGCATTTTCAGAGAAATGTGAGATTTTTTATACAAGATAGGCATTTTTTTTTGCGATCAGAGGTGGTGGTGTTGGGAGGTGGGGGTGCGGAGGTAGTGGCCTACATATTTTTAATATTTTTTTAGGGATTTTATTTTATTTTTAAAGACTTTTTTAAGTCTTTTTAAATATTTTATTTTTATTTTTTATTTTTATTTATTTTTATTTTATTCTATTTTATTTTTTCCGATTTTTTATTAATTTTTAAAAAAATACGACTTTTTATGTTTTTATTATAAATAAAACTTTGATTTTTGTTATAAATAAATAGATCAATTATAGGTTGGGGGTAGAATAGGAAGAAGAGACATATATTATTCATATTTTGGAAATAAAAGAAATATAGTCCTAATGTGAAAATTTGGGCTACTTTTAATCTCATTTAGGACTAATACCCCTTAATAAATCTCTGAACTCCATAACATTTTCAATCATATAGGCCTTGGTGACAGAATGGCTGCAAAGTATATCCGGTTGTAACGTGCGCACTGTACAGTCCGACTTTTAGTTCATAGATCGCTAGCTTTCATCGCAATTCATTCTTGTTGCTCACCCTTCTGAGCATACACAAATGAAATTCTGAGCATAGTAAACGTTTTAAATGAGCTTTTATTTTTTTATTTTTTTCGGTGCTCATTTCATATATTATATATGATCATTTGATATTGGTGTAATACTCATTTTAAAATGGCATATTAATGCATATTTCAAAAGTATAATATTACATTCAATTCAACTTAATAGCACAACGATTGAAAACAAAACAACTTAAATTCAATTTGTTTTGTTTAATTTAATAGGGACGATTATCTTCAACAGGGATGACAACGGGGCGGTTAGGGGTCGGGTATACCATTACCCGTACCCACCCGTTTGATAGTATTATTCTCCGAAACCGCCCCGTTACCCGTCGGGTATTTTTTATCCACGGGTAACGGTTTTCCCCGCGGGTAACCATTTTATTAAAAGATAATTTTTTTATTCAAAATTAGTATAAATCCTAAAATGATGATTAACTACTTATAATTGACCACCTAAATTAAAAAAATAAAAATTAAATAGCACCACAGATAAAGTTTTTTAAAACATCACAAAAAATTACAATCGTTTGAACCTAATATTCACAAATTATATATGTCTAGATTCAAAATTATGAATGTCTTACCACATCAACATCAAAAGATTAAGTCTTGTCTCGATAGTAAAATCTAAATATTAATCTCAAAAACATTTAACTTCCAAAAATTCAATAACCATACCCCACCAGCATTCAACATCTAAATTTAAGAACAGTAATGTATACAAGTTACATAATGAAAATGAGATTTTTTTCCCTAAAATATTACTAATAAAAAATATATAGACATAAATGTGACTATAAGTTACCATGGGTAAGTTTTATAGTCACTATGATATAACATTTGAATAAAATTATAAACACTAAAGTTACTAGGGTCGCATTTTTGTCCACAATTTTTATTTTGTTTATAGATTTGGAATTATTTCTAAAAAATGTACTTCTAATACTATGATTTAGGTATTCTTGTAGTTACTATTTAGAAATCTCATAATTAAAATTTAAAACTTCATGTAAATTAGAGCAACCAATCAGAATCTAATCTAATCATCCAAGGTACCTCTACAAAATTATTAGCATTTACATAAATTAAAGCAATCTAGAGTAATGTTTCCCAATATTTGGACTTTAAACTCATATGTGAGCTTTATGAAAGTTATTGGGTGAAAAATTAAGAGAGTCACAATGTGAAAATTATGTACAGAAAATCACGAAAATCAAATAATCAATATGTGAAGAAAATAAATCTTGTAGAAGTTAACAGTGATGAATGATATTGAAAATTAAAAATCTAAAATAGTGAACTTTGAGCACCAACTCCTCAGAATTGCAAAGGATAGCCAATTAGTTAAATATTTTTAAAAAAATTAGAGAGACTAAGTGTCATATACTAATGTACTACTATTCATATATACTTAATATATTAAATAATAAATACATAAACTATCAAAATATGTTAGTTAATTGTGCGGGTCGGGTAATGGTGCAGGTAACCGTATCCAAATTAAACGGGGTGGGTAACGAGGCAAGTAGGTATAAACCCATAACCGGCCAATTACCCGTTTACATAAATTGGGGATTTCTCGCCCCGTACCCGTTACCCAGTCAAAGCAATTTTCCCCATTTTGACTGGTTCGGTGCGGGTATCATCGGGTCGGGTTAAATTGCCAATCCCTAATCTTCGGTCCTGTGAAACTAAGGTTTCCATTTCAGATGCACTACTTCAGGCTGATATTGAACATCTTGATTCTACTTATCACTCATTGGATATGATTTTAATTGAAGATGTTCATGGTCTTGAACGAAAAACCGAGTCTCATAATTTTTCAAATCTTAAGGATTTCTTTCAGACTACTTTTACAAATGAGGCAGATTCACTTTGTCACTTTCTACTTTATGAAATTCAAAGGCTCGTTGCTTTTGATATGGAGAATCTGGCTTTGACACCCACAAATGAAAGAAACTCTTCAAAAACAAATAATTCAGAGAAAGACAATTAGGAGAAGATAGGAGTTTCAGAGCTATGTAGCGGTTTTAGAAGTACACATTTTGATTGTGGATGGGATGCTCAATATCGTACACGCAAATTTACCGATTCTCTTGATTGTGTGGGAGTTTATGATGATCAAGTTGTCACATTTTAGGGGAATGAATTTATTGGTCATTTCTCGGAAGACGAAAAGAGTGTTCCCATCATAGAGGGGAAAAGGATGACACCACATGCCTCAGACCCCCAACCCTGATCGGACGGTACGTTGGGAGGATGTAATTGGACAATAATCACAATCTGACAGATAGAGAGTGGAGCTCTGTCCTCGATACTTGCAGAGGCCCTATGCATTTTTAGCATAGTAACCCCTCATCGCAGTTGCCGAGATTCGAACCCGGGACCTAACCCTTGTTTCACTTCCTTGCTACCAGTTGAGCTACGCCCACCGGTAAAAAGGAGAAAAATTAAGAAAGGGCTACTTTCCGGGAAAAAAAAACAAAAACTAAGGTATGGGTAAACTTTTTATAGTGACAAGCTCCACCGCTTTCACGGTCCCTTACCCCAGAAACTCAACTTTGGTTTGGCCCTACGTGTTAGTATACACTGCTTGGCCCTGCCACTTGAAGGGTTTTGGGGGGGAGCATAGTACCACTGGTGCTAGTGGGACTTGAACACGAGACCTCTCATATGCAGGGGTAACCTCACAACCAGCTGCGCTGGAAGTTCTGGTTTAAAACTAAGGTATGGGTAAACTTTTTATAGTGACTAGCTCCACCGCTTTCATTGTCCCTTACCCCAGAAACTCAACTTTGGCTTGGCCATACGGGTTAGTATACACCGCTTGGCCCTACCACTTGAAGGGTTTTTTGGGGGAGCATAGTACCACTGGTGCTAGTGGGACTTGAACACGAGACCTCTCCTATGTAGGGGTAACCTCACAACCAGCTGGGCTGGAAGTTCTGGTTTAAAATTAAGATATGGGTAAACTTTTTATAGTGACTAGCTCCACCACTTTCACGGCTCCTTACCCCTAGCGGATACTCGTATCATATATTCTTCGACCGTATTTGTAATTTCTTAATAGTTTTCATTTTTGAGTAATTGTTTTTAAAATTTGGATACACGTATTCTGACATATACACCTATCAATTATTTCTATAAAGAAAACACCGAAACATTAATAAATAAGAATCTTAAAAAATAAAAGAAGAACCAATGGTTGCATTTTGTAAGATGGCGTTGTCTTCAAAATTAGTAGTTTCAATGAAAACATTCCTTAGAAATTTAAGTTTCTTTTAGAGAATCGTATATTGAAAATATTTTATCTAAAACTTGTTTTATTCAAGAATTTTGAATTGTTGTTGTTGTCTCACCCCGAATATCTCTGAAATAATTAAACATTATATTAAGATCTAGGTTGTTTCTCCTATCAGATTGATCTTTTATGATGAAAACTCATGTTTTAACATGGTATTAGAACCAAATCGATCCATTTGTGGCTCCTTGATTACATAATATTTCTAAAATAATTAAACACTATATTAAGATCTGAATTTCTTTTAGGATGAACGAAACAATTTATTTTTAATCTTCGTAAGTCTTCATAACTCATGCATGACAGGAGTACTGTGTCTCAAACGTGCAAGTACATGTACGTGAGC